CAGTGAGCTAAGATCACACCACTGCACGCCAGCCTGGGTGACAGAGTGAGACTCTGTCTCAAAAAACAAAATGTAGTTCAAAGACCGTAAGCCAAGACCTGGGAACATGCATTTTTTAAGTTCCTCAGGCCATAATTATGCTGAGTTTGAGAACCCTTGCCCCACATTGCCTCCTCCCATCTGGTCAGCTTTCTACAGTGGGAAGGGAGGAAGTCACCCCCAGAGCGGTGGGATTTCAGGAGTGAAGCAAAGGATTACCTCCCCAACTAATGCAACAAACAAAAAATGCCTCCCCTGACAGACTGCTCTTTGTGCCTCTAATTATCCCAAAAGACTCATTTCTTTGGGTTAAAATACAAACAGTCCTAGATCACTCGGGACCGTCTCATGAATGAACTCGGGTTACTGTCAGACGGGAACAACTGCTTGCATGAAGTCACTCCGCAAGTTCAGCTTTTGTGGGGAAACATTACTCAAGAGTCAAGACCTTGATCTGAAAATGCAAATCCAGCTGGAAGCTGCAGGTGGTGAGATCCTGTACGACAGGGAGAGGCTGAGCATCACTGAGGTAGGGGTGGGATGGGGGGAGGGTGGAAGTGGGGTGGGGGTGGGGGTGAAGGTAGAGGACTCCTAGGAGAGGAAAGAAAATGCAATTGGGGTAGGGGGTGAAGCCACACACACACACCAGAGTCAGAAAGAACTGAAGGCCAGGCGCAGTGGCTCATGCCTATAATCCCAGCACTTTGGGAGGTCAAGGCAGGTGGATCGCCTGAAGTCGGGAGTTTGAGACCAGCCTGGCCAACATGGTGAAACCCCTACTAAAAATACAAAAATTAGGCGGGCATGGTGGTGCACCTCTGTAATCCCAGCTACTCAGGAGGCTGAGGCAGGAGAATCACTTGAGCCCAGGAAGCAGAGGTTGCAGTGAGCTGAGATTTCCTCACTGCACTCCAGCCTGGGTGACAGATGTCTCCAAAAAAAAAAAAAAAAAAAAAAAGAATTAGAGTAAAGCCTCAGCCTTGCTACTTCCTTGCTACTTACCGGTGTGACCTTGCAAATGTTACTTTGTTTCCAATGCCTAAGTTTTCTCACAGGTAAAACAGAGCTAACAACAGAACCTACCTATAGGGGCATTGCAAGAATCAAACACATCACATGTGCAACAGTTAACATTCGCTGACCCTTGAGCCAGTAGCCATGCTAAGTGCTTTGCATATATTATTAACTCATTTAATCTCCATAGATAACCGATTGTGTGATTATTGTTTTACATATTTTATAAAGGAAGAAAGCAAGGCACAGAGAGATGAAGTAACTTGCCTCAAGGTGGCACAGCTTCTAAGTGTCAGAGTCAGTATTTGAACCTAGTCGGTCATATTGCAGGGGCAGTGGCCCTCATAGCTACAGTCAGTGGCAGATGCTTCATGTCATAGAGAGGGCTGCAGTGGAGGAGGCCGGGGTGCAGCCTGCTGAAGGACGGCCCTCTGGGCAGGGGTCCCTGTTGCTCAGATCCAAATGCAGACTGAACAAGTAGCCTTAATCATTAAGATCACTGCGGAGCAAAGGGGGGAAGGCACACTCTGCCTGTTCTCCCTCCACCCCCAAGACACTCACCTTATTCCACACCCAGAGGAGGATACGGGGCGCTCCCTTCCAGAGCCTAGAGACCCTGGGATGGTTCCAGTCCCTTCCCTCAACATCCCCCCAACAAAGAGCAGCAGCACAGATGCCAGGACTCTTGCTCTGCTGTGCTTGCCTTTCAGTGTATCTCCTGAAATAAACCACAGTGTTGCGAGAACAGGGAGCCCCGCCTCTCTGGAGCAGTTACGATGGGGAAACAGTGTCAAGGAAGTCCGTGTGTGCGGTGTCTCACTGGGCCTCCACACCTTTGTGAAGTAGATATTATCATCTCCATTTTGCAGATGAAGACACCAGGCCCCGAGAGGCTACATGACCTGCTCCAGGTCACAGCAAGTCAGCAGCACCTCACAGCATCAGATGTCTGTTGGAATTCAAAGCTATTTATGGGACTTGAGGCCCAGCTGGGGCTTTTACACCCAGCCCCCAAAGGTGAAGTTCTCTGTTCCTCATTCATTCCTTCATGTGCTGAGTGCTTTTCAGAGACAGCTTGATGCCAAGCCTCAGAGTAGAGACCGTAGCAACCCGGCCTCCGCTTCATTCTGCTCAGCAGGGCTGGTGGTCTTTCTTAATGGGATGTTTGTAGAGGTTTCCATCGCCCCAGGTTCTGGAAGGCCTGATTATCAGCCCAGGGGCTGCTCCTCGGGGATGGGAGTCAGGGGTTCAGCCTCTTCATGGGAGAACCCAGCTCTGGGTGTTTCAGGAAATTTCTGACCTGCCAGGGTTCCTGATCAGTCAGAGCTGGGGAGTGGGGGCCGGGAGAAAATGTTTCCCGTCAGCCCAGCTTTTGTCTCTCACATGAGCCCGAGACAGACAAACCACAACCACAGACTCGACCAGCTGTGGAAGCGTCGAACAGGAAACCCAGAACATCTGGTGCTCCACTTCCTCTGAGGGCTGCGCACGTCTGGGGGGCCGGTGTGCATGTGCGAGTCCGCCTGTGTGCATGTCTGTCTTCTCTTCTGCTGCTGCTTAGTGGGACTTGGAGCAGACAGAGCTAGAAACCACAGGCCTTGTGGTGACAGGGAAGCCAGACACTGGCTCCCCAGCCTTTACAGCGTGGCGTCCCTTCTCAGACAGTAACCTGGGATCCGACCCCGCCTCCCAGGCCGCCTGCCAGTCCCCGGCCCTTGGCTAGCTTCAGGTCACCACACATTTGAAGACAGGGATTTCTTTTATTTTCAGACGGTGATCGTTTAGAGGCACTGTTGGAAGCTGAGGTGAGAAGTCTCTGCTTACATATAACTTGGCCTCAGCATACAGACTCACAAAAAGCAGCCACTGGACAAAAGCTGTTTTGGGTTTGTTTTTTGTTTTGTTTTTTGAGACAGAGTCTGCTCTGCCACCCAGGCTGGAGTGCAATGGCGTGATCTTAGCTCACTGCAACCTCCACCTCCCAGGTTCAAGCGATTCTCCTGCCTCAGCCTCCCTAGTAGCTGGGATTACAGGTGCCCACCACCATGCTCAGATAATTTTTTTGTATTTTTAATAGTGACAGCTTTCACCATGTTGGCCAGACTGGTCTCAAACTCCTGACCTCAGGTGATCCGCTTGCTTCGGCCTCCCAAAGTACTGGGATTATAGGCATGAGACACCGTGCCCGGCCAAAAAGCTGTTTTTGTTTGTTTTGTTTGAGACTGAGTCTCATTCTGTTGCCCAGGCTGGAGTGCAGTGGCACAATCTCAGCTCACTGCAAACTACGTCCCCCAGGTTCAAGCGATTCTCCTGCCTCAGCCTCCTGAGTAGCTGGGACTACAGGCACGTGCCATCATGCCCGGCTAATTTTTGTATTTTTAGTAGAGATGAGGTTTCACCATGTTGGCCAGGATGGTCTCAGTCTCTTGACTTCATGATCCACCCGCCTTGGGCTCCCAACGTGCTGGGATTACAGGCATGAGCCACCACACCCAGAAAAAAAAGCTGTCTTTCAAACAATTTGAGGAGCATTGGTGAATGACCGCAGGGGCCACGTGCTGATTGGGGGTAGCTTTCCCATTAGTGGTGGTGTTCTCTGAGTAAGGAGAAAACAGGGTTTTTCATTTTTCTGATGGGAAGAAACATACGGCAGTAGAAACAAAAGGCTCCCCAAACCATAGCATGAAGTTTAGCTCTCATGGTACCCTCAGGAGGTAGGCACTATTATGCCCATTTTTATGAATCATGAAATGGATGTGCACATGGGTGCGGAAGTCACCCCAGTGCATACAGCACATAAGAAGCAGGGGCAGGTTCAATTCAAACCAAAGCCCGGCCTCATGCTAGATCTTAGATCACACTTCGTTCTTTCAATGAGCATTCAAAATCTGAACTGTACCTAGCAAACAGTTGGCATTCAATGTTTCTTGAATTAATCACCTAATTGTGCTATGATGGTAGAGACAGATGTCATACTCACTGTAGCCCTCAGGCTCAGCACGGTATCCAGGAAAGAATGGGTGCTTAATCAATGTCAGCGAATGAACACGTAAAGGAATTCTAAGGTTTAGAACAGTGATACTTTATTTTTCTTGTTGTTGTTTCTTTTGAGCCAGACTCTGTCACCCTGGCCAGAGTGCAGTGGTGCTAACTCAGCTCACGGCAACCTCCACCTCCAGGATTCAAGCGATTCCGCCCCCCCCAGCCTCCAGAGTAGCTGAGATTTCAGGTATGCACTACCACACCCGGCTAATTTTTGTATTTTTAGTAGAGACAGGGGTTTCACCATGTTGACCAGGCTGGCCTCGAACTCCTGACCTCAAGTGATCCTCCCAACTCGGCCTCCCAAAGTGCTGGGATTGCAGATGTGAGCCACCGCATCCAGAAGATACTTCATTTTTCGGCAGGTCATTTACTTAGCAAGGCCAACTGTTTGGATCCTGGCTAAAAATGTGAAAGAAGACAGAAAAAGCCACAAGCAGTCAACAGAAGTCACGGGTCCTAGCACATAAAAGTTCAAGTACTTGGTTCACAGCCGAAATTCTCAGGTCTTCAGCTGTAGCCTGGTTACCCTTACAAACACCACTGCTAAAGAGCATGGTTACTGATCGTTCCAGGACACAAGATTTGAAAGCATGGCTTTCGAAGGGAGATGACCCGCTAGGGGAAGCTTGCGGGCAACAGCAAACTGGGAGTTCGACAAGCACTTTCAGACAGGGATGCAACGAAGAACTCGCCAGCAGACATAAGAGATGGGCAAGATGAGAATGAACTGTGATTCTCGGATATCTGCCCGCAAGGTGGCTTCGAGAAAGCCAGCCGGAAACTGCAGCACCGCGGAGGATTTCTCTGGTTCAGGTTAAAGGCACAACAGCCAGAGGGAGCGGACTTCAAACCCAGCTCCCAGCAGCGGCCTGGGCCAGCCAAGGTGGTGCATGCGCAGTGTGCAAGGTCGTGCTCCTTTTCATACCTGCAGACCTGTGGCGCCTTCTGAGGGAGCAGGGCTTACGCCACGCAAGCGCCGCGGGTGCGTGACGTCATCTGAGAGCGCCACACGCCGTCCCGAAACCCTGAGCACCGTCTGGCTACAGGCGTTGCTGTAGAGACGGTGCGCCGAGTCCCGCCCCCGAGGCGGGATAGGAGGAGAACCGGTCAGCTGACAAGGATGACGTTTCGAAAGCGCGCGGGAGGTCCCGCTGAAACGCAGAGCCCAGGAAGCAATTTGAGGGGCGTCTTGACCGAAGGTACTAAATATCAAACGGCTCCATTAAAGTAAAAATGCAAACTGCCCTAATCGGATTTCATGTAAAGCAGGAGGCCTGGAAAGACTTAAATGTATCACTACAGTAGGTTAAGGGTGGGAAAGAGTTTGGACCAGACTAGCGTCGGGACAACCTGACCTTTTGAGCCTTAATTTTTTCTCGAAGGGATCGTTCCCATCAGCATATAAACATGTGATTTCCCCCTTCCTGAGAACCCTTCCGTGGCTCCAGCCCCCACCTCATCCCCTCGCTCTCTGAGTATCGTAACTGCCTGGAAGAGTGTGTATAATCTTTGTCCAGCCCTCTCCTCCCACTCAGTGTTGAACTCCCTCCAGGCACTCAGTCTCTCCCCAGTCCTCGTCTTACCTGCTCTGTCAGCGATTTTTGATACGGTTTATCACCCCCTCCTCCGCAAAACTTTCTTCGCTTGGCTTTTGGGAGTGCACACGGTTGTTTTTCCCTCCATCCCTGCACCTCTCTCTGTTTCTTTTGCTAGTCTCCCCTCTTTTTCTTGACCTCTAAATGTAGCAGTGCCCCCAGCACTGGTTCCTTGGACTTCTCTTTCTTTTCACTTAATCTCTTGATGATTTCATTGGATTTCATGGCTTTAAAGACTATCTGTGTGCTGATGACTCCCATCTGTATAGCTCCAGCCTAGAACTTATCCTCATCTCAGAAAAATCCTTCTGGCTTCTCAGGCTGTAAACTTTGAGTTCTTCAACCCATGTCAAATCTGTCAGCAGATCCTATTGGCTTTTCTTTTTTCGCCAGAATCCAGTCTCCACTGACACCATCTTAGAGCAAGCCCCCATCTGTCACCTGGATTACCGTAATTGCCTAACTGGTCCCCCTTCTTCCACCCCTACCCCGTTAAGTCTATGTTTACATAACAACCTCGGTAATTCTGTTAAAAGTTATATCATGTGGCACCTCTGTGCAAAAACTATCAGGCCTCGTGTCTCAGAGTAAAAGCCAAAGCTTTACCAGGGCTAGAACTGTTCCACACCACCAGGCCTCCATTCTAGAGCTCTCCATTCTTGTCTCCCTTGCTCACTTAACAGCAGCCACATTAGCCGTTTTGCCAAGCTTGCTTCTACCTCTGGAACTCTAAACTTGCCTTTACGTCTGCATGGAACGTGTCCTCATTTATCCCCAGGGCTCCCTCCCTTACCTCCCCCAAGACTTGGTTCAGATGTTCCCCACTGACAAAGGCCTTCATCAACCTCCTGGTTTGAAATTGCAAATCAGACTCCGGCAAGCCTGCATTCCCACATTCCCATTCCCTTCCCTTTTGGTCCATTGCATTTAGTTTATCACCTTCTAATAACCCGTTTAATTGAGTTCTTTATCTTATATGATGTCCCTCTCCACATGAAGACAGAAATTTTTTCGTCATTGCTCCACCCCCAATTCTGAGACAGAATGTGTGGCACATGTTAGGTAGGTGCTCAGTACAGGTCTGTGGGGAGAATGGGTGCATTGCAGAATCCTAGGGCTAAGGCATGGTTAGGAGCCAGAGCCTTAGAGGCTTGGGTTCTAGGCTCCCTTTACCATTTAGCTGCTTTTTTTTTTTTGAGACGGAGTCTTGTTCTGTGGTCCAGGCTGGAGTGCAATGGTGCGATCTCGGCTCACTGCAACCTCCGCCTCCTGGATTCAAGCGATTCTCCTACCTCAGCCTCCTGAGTAACTTGGATTACAGGCACACACCACCATGCACAGCTAATTTTTGTATTTTTAGTAGAGACGGGGTTTTGCTATGTTGGCCAGGCTGGTCTTGAACTCCTGGTCTCAGGTGGTTCACCCACTTTGGCCCCTCAAAAGTGCTGAATTCTTTGGGAAACCGAGGCAGGTGAATCACCTTAGGTCAGGAGTTCGAGACCACCCTGGTCAATGTGGTGAAACCCCGTCTCTACTAAAAGTACCAGGGACTGGGTTCAGTTCTTCCACAGACCAGGGCCAGGGAGGTTGGTTTCAGGATGAAACTGGTCTACCTCAGATCATCAGGCATTAGATTCTCATAAGGAGTGCACAACCTAGATCCCTGGTATGCACAGTTCACAGTAGGGTTTGTGTTCCTAGGAGAATCTAATCTAATGCTTTTGCCGATCTGACAGGAGGTGGAGCTCAGGTGATAATGCTCACCTCCTAATCTCTTTTTTTTTTTTTTTTTTTTTTTGGAGATGGAGTCTCACTCTGTTGCCCAGGCTAGAGTGCAGTGGTGGGATCTCGGCTCACTGTAACCTCCGCCTCCCATGTTTAAGTGATTCTCCTGCCTCAGCCTCCCAAGTAGCTGGAAATTACAGCTTTGGTCCACCACCAAACCCAGCTAATTTTTGTATTTTTAGTAGAGACAGGGTTTCACCATGTTGGCCAGGCTGGTCTCGAACTCCTGACCTTAGGTGATCCACCCGCCTGAGCCTTCCAAAGTGCTGGGATTACAGGCATGAGCCACAGCACCCGGCCCAGTGTCCTAAGCTCTTGTGAGGACATCAGTCAGACCGGATTAGAGCTCACTCCAGTGGCCTCATTTGAACGTAGTTACCCTGTTAAAGGCCAAATACAGTCACTTTCTGAAGTCCTGGGGGCTAGGGTTCAGCCCATGACATTATTTAAAATCCAAGGGAAGCATAGAAAGGAGCCATGGAACCAGAGGAACCTTTCAGGTAGAGAGAAGCAGATGTACAGAAATCCTGTGGCTGGAAGCACTGTGTTAAGTTAGAGGCAGTAGAAGGCCCATGTAGCTTGAGCTCAGAGTGAGGGGTCTTGGTGGGAGTTACACTGGGAGTTGAGGGTGAGGAGCCACCCATGTAAGATCTTGGAAGCCACCCAGAACTGTTGTTGGGAGTGATGTGATAACAGTCATGTAATGCAGCGGTCCCTGACCTTTTTGGCACCAGGGACCGGGTTCATAGAAGACAGTTCTTCCATGGACCAGGGCCCGGGAGGTTGGTTTCAGGATGAAACTGGTCCACCTCAGGTCATCAGGCATTAGATTCTCATAAGGAGTGCGCAACCTAGATCCCTGCTATGCACAGTTCACAATAGAGTTCATGCTCCTAGGAGAATCTAATGCTGTTGCTGATCTGACACGAGGCGGAGCTCAGGTGATAACTCACCTGAGCTGTGTGGCCCAGTTTCTAACAGGCTACTGGCCTGTGTCCCGGGGGTTTCGGACCCCTGCTCTAATGGCAAGATTACTCTGGCCACAGATGGGTTGGAAGGAGGCTCCCCTTAGCTCCAGAGCTATTGTCATGGTGAGGACTCTGTGACACAGTGCATGGTGTCTCCTAGTAAGGGCTCTGTAGAGGGTTACTGGTTAATACTTTTCATAATGGCCACCTGGCATGGTTGATGGGAGGATTGAATGGAAAAGAGGCCAAGAAGGACTTAATAAATGATAAGAAGAACACTAGGAAAAGCATCCAAAAGTACCAAAGAGTCTGTATTTGGTGGCGCTGGACAAAGGTAGTTTGAACAGATGTGATTGCCTATTGCTCCGGAAGGTTTTAGATGAGACTCATGCAAAAGAGGAAGGATGTTGGAGCAGGGAGGCGCTGACCCCATGTGTCATCTTCCAGAAGCCTAAAGACAGTGGAAACGATCTGAGGGAAGGAGCACTCATCTTTTATTTCTTTTCTTCAGATTCAGCTGAAAGCACCCCTTAAGTTTACTGTCAGGGTGCTGATACACAGAGCTACTCCTAAAAGATTCAGAGTATGGGTGAGGGACGTGAGGTCACCTCCTGCAGGCTCTCAGTAAGAGTACTGCTGGGCAGCGGGAAGCTTCCGCATTTCATTCCTGGAACTCAGTGTCCGGAAGTGGAACCATATGTGACCTCCCAGCTCCCTTCAACTTGACTGGTGACTCTACCTTTCAGAGTCTTGCCCTGTCACCCAGGCTGGAGTGCAGTGGTGCGGCTGCAGCTCACTCAGCCTCCCTAGTAGCTGGGACTACTCGCATGCACCACCACCCCCGGCTAATTTTTTTATTTCTTGTAGAGATGTGGTCTCACTATGTTGCCCTGGCTGGTCTCGACCTCCTGGGCTCAAGCAATCCTTCTGCCTTGGCCTCCCAAAGTACTAGGATTAGAGGAATGAGCCACTGTGCCTGGCTTCTTTTTTTTTTTTTTTTTTTTTTCCCAAGAGCTATGGTCTGTCACCCAGGCTGGGTGCAGTGGCTATTCACAGGAGCAGTTATAGCTCACTGCAGCCTCAAACTCCTGGGCTCAATTGATCCCCCACCTCAGCCTGTAGCTGGGACTACAGGCACACGTCACCACACCCAGCTTATGACAGTACCTTCTGATGGTTTAATGCAACGAAGACTGCTCTTTGTCTTGGAAGGAACCAAGACAAGCATTTTATCCCAGTGGCTAAAGAACTCTGACTGTCCTCCTCCACACCCTTGACAGAGGGCCATCTGCCAGTGATTGGGAATGCACCAGACAGCCCATCCTAATTTTGGACAGAATTAATTGTTAGAATCGGCTTTGTAACACGAGGCCAAATCCATCTCTTGTAAGTCCTGGTCTGGCCTTCAGGAGCTACACAAACCCAGTGCCTCCTCTTTATGGCATTAAATATTTGGCAGTGACCCTGGGCTCTGGGCTACCCTTGAGACCTCCAAGTCTTCTGTTCACAAACTGAACACCTCCCCCTGCCCCGCCAAAAAGGTGCTTTTTTACTTTTCTTAACGATGCTTTTATGAATGTTCTTGTACATGAATCTTTTCATACTTGCCTTTGGATACATTTCTATAAATGAAACTTCTGGGACAAATGGTGCATTTTATAGTTTGTGCTATATATTTTTTCCAAAGGGGTGATTTTTGCTTGTACACCCGCCAGCAATTTACAAGAGAGCCTGTTCCCCCACACCCCACCCACCAACATGGGGAATTTTCATTCTTTTAATCATTGCCAATCTGATAAGGGGAAATGGTTATCTCGTGATTGCCTTAATTTGCATTTCTTTGATTATGGGTGAGATGTTTTCCAACCACATCCTTTACTTTTGCAGTTGAGTTTTGGAGCTCAAGGCAAGACCTTGCATGTATTCCAGTTAAATTTTATCTTGTTGGATTCAACCAATCATTCCTTCCTGTTGAGATAATTTTGGACCCTGACTCTGCAGTCCCAGCGGGTTGGCCTTCCTTCCCAGTCTGGTGTTATTTGCACAGTTGATAAGCAGTTATCTTTGGACTTATCCAAGTTGTTGACAGAGTGTTAATGAGTGGAGAACCAAGGACAGAACTGCTTGGCATTCCACTGGAGAATGCCTTGGGATGACACTGTTCCATCGCTGTTACAGCTCAACCTCACCATGCCTGGGAGTCATGGCCATATTAGGAACCTTCACCTGGGACGTAGACTCCACCCCTGGCCCTGATGAGCTGCGAGGCCCTGAGCAAGTGCCGTCCTCTTTCACTGAGCTGCACTTTTGAGCTCCAGCAGCCTTTTTCTCACTATTCTGTCCATAAGACTTTCATGAGAAATAGGACAGTGGCCATGGAAGTCGGAATCTGCTAAGGAGCGTGTAATAACTCACCTGCCAAATTAAAAAAAAAAAAAAAAATTTCATGAGAAACGGTCAAATTGTTGTCAAAAGTCATGGTATTATCACGAAGTGTTCACCCCATTTTCTGATTTAGTAGAACGACCACGAAGCCCTCTGTCATGGACATTGACCTCTGGTACTGCTCTTCCTATGTGCTGGTCAACCATCTGTTTGATTTTCTGCCCCAGAATTCCTGAAGCTCAACAGCCTTCAGTTTATCCAATTCATACATTTAAAAAAATAATAATAAAAGGTTTTGGCCAGGCGCAGTGGCTCACGCCTGTAATCGCAGCACTTTGGGAGGCTGAGGTGGGCAGATCACAAGGTCAAGAGATGACGACCCTCCTGGCCACCATCATAGTGAAACCCCATCTCTACTAAAAATACAAAAAATAGCTGGGCGTGGTGGTGTGCACCTATAATCCCAGCTACTCAGGAGGCTGAGGCAGGAGAATCACTTGAACCTGGGAGGTGGAGGTTGCAGTGAGCCAAGATCGCGCCACTGCACTCCAGCCTGGTAACAGAGTGAGACTCCATCTCAAAAAAAAAAAAAAGAAAAAAGAAAAAAAAAAAAAAATATATATATATATATAATAATAATAATGGTAATAAAGGCTGCTATGGTTTGTTTGTTTATGGTTTTGGACTCCTCCGTTCTCTGCGATTCCTCAAAGCACCCTGAGATGTCAGAAGCTCTCAGCACTCCCTGCCAGGGCTTGTTGGTTCTATTGCCCTGTTTCCGTTTTCTTTCATATCAGGAAGGTGGGAAGGCCACCTCTCCTCCA